GAAGCCGGATACGCTGGTAAGGAGGTCGCAGGAAAGTAATGACTGGTCCGTGAGAATAAACTCCGCGTAATTTCGCGCTTCTCAAATCCTCGACCCGGTGCCGAGAGTCGTTGTGTTAACGAAAAGTAACGCCCTTGGATTTTCGCGAATCGACACTCTATTCGTTCGCCCTCTGTACGAACAAAACATTTCACAGTGAAGACCACTTGTTCCATCTTACACACTTCCGGTGGGTTTCATCGAAATGATAAGTCACTCGCATAAAAGTCCAGTATCCTACGATGATCCTATACTTCTAATCTACAGAAAAACACTCGATAAGATTACATATTCCGTTACTGGATTACTCGGTCGAAAGAAAATAACAACCTTTTTTATAATTGTAATTCTCATGTTTATGGATGACATTAAAATAAACGAGAGCATACAATTTGTCGGCACTGTTGATCTATCTAACGATAAGAAAGCAAAAATTTAGAGGATTCCCTAGCTTATTTATCCTATAGAAGTTCCACCATTAACTTGGTTACGAGTAACCAGCTTCATCTCGAGACATCCGCCGGGGTCGCTAATAAAGTAGTCGTTAAAAGATATCGTGAAATTTATTGATATTAAAACCGCGGGCGGCCGATGAAATACGAAACTTGCTGGTTGTTTTCCCGTGGTCGCTCGCGGCCGGTTCCCGATCCGCCTATTTCCCTGCTCGCTGATAACAAAATCTTCAATCAGCCTCGGTGGCTGCTAATACAGTTTTTTTCAATTTACGCGGCTCAAGTTTATCGAGCATACCACGTACCATTTCTATCCAATCCTTGCTTATTATTATTCAAATTCCCGTTACGCACCGTTTCACTTATCATTTTCGCACGCACACATCAATTTCAACCCTGTAACAGTACTTATCACACGGACACATTGTTCTTTTTACGATCGAAATTCTCAACCCGTCTGGTTATCCATTCCCGTCGAATCGGCAGTTTCTCGAATTCCAAACGGGGGGATCGAAATTTTCCGAAACCTCGTGAAGCAGCACCGCCGTGCTTCGCGAAGTACCGGTAGCGAGCGACTCCCTGGTGGAATTGCAAGAAAATCGTGGAGAAGAAAAAGTCATTCGTCGGATCGACGGAGTTCAATGTTTCGAGGGTGAAATCGATAGCAGGTGGTGGTGGGTCCCTGGAGCGAATGCCACCAGCAACCCCGCGTGCCCCGACTCCGCGCCGGCCAGCTCACAGCCATTTATTTATTTCCATGCGGTGGCTTCGTATGCCGAGCGTTGCTTCGCCCCCGGAGCGAAAGGGGGTGCGCTCCGGAGTTCCTGGCCGGGGGGATGGTTCTAGGGTGTAGAGAGGGGATTGTGGGAGCGGAGCGATTCACGGCGGGCTCGTAAAATCCGCGAGCGAGACTCGAAATCCGTAATCACAATTCGCACCAGTCGCGATGGAGATTCTCATCCCCGCCGCGGGGGCCAGAAGGGGCGTCGCAGAATGGGAAACGAGGGATGAAAAAAAAAAACGGTCGAGTGTTTCGCGACGGGCCGACCCAACCTTTCTCCCCCGCGAAATCGAATCTTCTCCGGTTCTCCGCCGGTTTCTGATGCTGTTACCGATAAGGCGCTCGGGATTGCGCGTAAATATCCAACCCCGTTGCGTGCCTCCGACCGGGACACGTCGCTTAATCCCCTTTTGGACGGGGGATACGGGCTGAATTAATGTCGCGTGTTTGCGGATTGTTTACCGGAAATTTATAGATTGTGTCTACGAGATGTGGGCTGCGGCGAGGTTCATCCTTTGCGATTTTTGATGTTTGGTCGAACGGAGATTTCCGCGCGTGTTGCTTCTGCTTTAACAGTTTACTATGCTTTGAGTTCAATGAAATTTGGTAAGAGGTTTGGTACATTAGTGAGTGTCGCCATTTAATGATTTAATTTACTACCACGCTACATATAATATATGTAGATTCCACCGTCTACACCACGCAAACTGACAGCCACTTGTAAAATCAACAGTCGCCAGCCCCGGGGTACGAAAAATATTATAAATCATCTATATCGATATGTCCTTGTTAGTAAAAGCTGTATACTTATGGAGAATAATTTTAGTTTTGCCGCGTGACGTACCTACCACCGCTACCGCGAAGGCCCGTAAGATTCCTTTAATTTGTCATATAAATGACAAAGTGCTGAAATTTTCGTTGGATAGAATCTCCATGAAAGTAGATAACGTTTATGCATAATTTCGACGAAGGATCGCTTCGACGATAATCCAAGGAAACAGCTTTCCTGTGGCGGCGGCGGCGTCAAACGCTTCGCGGAATGACGTACGTCAATATCAGCTATCCCTTCGAGATAAGCAATGCCGGGAACGCTTAAAATGCTTTCTTCGCGCTTTATTATTCTACGAGGCCCCTCTGGCGAAAGTGCCTCATCCCCCATGGATAGGAAAAATTCTTTTTTATTTCGCATCGAAAGGGGAGGAGACATCTGTTCTGTCGACCGAGATGCGGCTTCGCGAGGAACGTCCTATTAAAACGCGCGGAGGATGAGAAAAAGCGGGGACGAAACTGGGGAAGGAGTCTCGTCGAGCGAGATGAATCGTCAAATACGAGAATCCAACTCGATTATTTTCTCTTCGAAGTGGCTCTGTTCTCCGCGCGGAGACGCGAAAACGATTGCCACAATTAGACGAATCAACAGCTCGACGCTACCGGCCATGGAACGGCCAACAACAGTCTTTATTTACGAAGCTCTTACTTAAAGACGCGACTCGAAAACCTTGAACGGGTATCCGGACAGTTTCTCTCCCGCGGGCCAGCACAGATCCCCTTGGAACAATATTTTTCCTCTTTTTCCCCGGCGAATAAAATCTAATTAACCCCTCATTACTGGCCCTCTACCCGACGACCTGGTCCATTTTACGTAGATATTTATTTGTCACGCGGTCTTCTCGTTCCGAGGATAGCTCGCCAGTTTCCCTGCCGGATTGCTATCGAACAAACGACACATCGCGGCAAGGTAACGTCGTTCGATTAATTTATTCATTCGGTTGTAGGAACAATCGTTCGAGTCTCGTCTACATTACGCGGCGTGTAGATTGGATAGACACGCGATGTGCCGTTCTACGATTTTTCTCCACGTCCAGAAGTGGAGCTCGGAACTGCCGCCACTCGTTGACAAGCTATGCCGTTCCATCGCGAGGGATTTATTTTGTATGAGCGTTTAGCGGCACGATATTCGTGTTCCTATCGCTGAAGTGTCCGTACACGCTCGCGGAAACGGAATCGAAGCTTGAAAACACTGACAGCGATAACAGAGAGAGAGAGAGAGAGAGAAACGTGGAAACGGTGGACGATACGATGAGTTGCTCGGCGAGCTTGAGTACTGGTAACTGTGAATCAATCGTGGCTCAAATACATAATGTGGGATCGGGAACTCCATACCGAACAAAGGAGCAAATAACATCTTGGGAAAATAGGAGGGTTCCGTGGAGTAGTGGGTAGAGTCTCTGCTTTCGGTGCCGGGGGTCGTGAGTTCGAATCCCGCTTGGGCCCTCTCATTTTTCCAACGCTCCTACAATAATTCATAAAAATATGTACAAGGCGCAATCGGTTAAATATATTTCATCCTTGACGCGGTCAATGTTCTCGATGCATTTGTGGGCCTGACCATTGTGCAAATTTAGACTTTGAAATGTTAATCTACGCGGATGGGTGTAGAATAAAATATTAAATACATTTTTACATGGACTTCATTTAACTGAACTTAAAATCTTAGTAACCCTCAGACACTACACTAGCGCGAATTTATATCAGCAAGACATTGTTTCCTTTGTAACATTCTATCTGCCTAGCAGAACGGTTTTTTTCCATTACAATAGAAATTATTTCTCACTCTTACAATTTTCACCATGTTATGTCTGAGGAAACTTTACCTTCAAAACTATATTGTGAGTTCAATTTACTTTTATTCTCTTCCAGTTATTAATAATGAAAAATTCAAGACCCCAATTCGCGCTAGTGTGACGTTTACGTATTCTGAGGTGGTGTGTGATTTCCGAGGGTAAAACCCGTCGGATATAAATGCTGATTATCCACGACTCAACGTGCGACCTCCGATCCTGTTTGTTTCCGGTTCATCGTTCACAAAAGGCGGTTGCGTCTGTAACTCGATTTTCGAAAACGCGGCCAACGAGAATGGATTCCTCCCGGTCGAAATGCACAGTCAGGTGTTCGTAGGGCCCGCGTTCGGCGAAGTTCTGCCGGGAGAAAGGAACGAGGCACAAGGGACGTCCCCGGGTTTCGATTATCGTCGATAACTCGGCTGGATGTATCCCTTCCGTGCTATAGCAGTAGTTTCCGGAAATTCGCTTCGCCCCTGGGATTATCCCGTCCGGGGAATTCCCATCTCGGTGCCGCCATGGTTATGCTCCCTTCCAGTCTCTCCCGTTCAACCCTTACTTTCGCTGGCGTTCCCATGCATTCACCACGGTTCCGAAACCCCCTTTTGTCTTCGTGCTCCGCTACGATTTGTCCCGAATTACTTCATCGGGAATATCACGTCGTCGCCTCGTCCCTTTTTCTTCGCGATAACACCACGCGTGTCTCTTGGTAATCGAAACGGGAGACGATAGGGACACTGAAGTAGGATCAATCGTCTGATATTTTACGTTCCGAATGTAAACTGTATGTATCGAGATATTAATTATTCCAAATATTTCTAAAATTTTTTACGCAATAATTCTGGAATACGGATTGCAGACCTATTAGAAAATTGAATGGCGAAGATGTGGGTTCGGGTCCAATTTGCTTGGTTCTCCGTTTTCCTAGAACTGTGCTTATGTTATTTTATTATGCTACAATGGAAATAGTAATTTACGGTAGATTATTTTACCTACATAAATTGCTGATATTCAGTAATTTGCTGTATGGAATCGAATACATTTGATAATATGTACTGGGTTCATGAAAATGGTTTCGACTAATCCGTGGCTCGTTTATTGTTACAGAATGCACGTTTCCACCGAGATGGGAAGGCACCTGGTTTCAGAGCGGAGTCACCCACCCGATTGTGATCTCGAGGAACGAGCTCTCCGGCAAGGGCAAGTGCCTGCACAACGAGGGCGACAAGTTCCTTCTGGTGAATCAGTGAGTAGACAATTAATCGGATAATGTGTAGGATGATTCGAGAGAAGCAAGAAACTTTTATCATAAAAGTTACTCACAACTAGACGACGGATTTTTATGTAAAATGATATTTTGAAGAATTAGAACGTCTTCCCCCTAGATTCTTGAAATCCTCACGATGACAAACATGTTCATAAAGGTAGAGACAGTTAATCGTTTCACTGGTTCCACGAGAATTAACCAAAAAAGTCGTCTCCAAAAAGAAATGAAACAAGTCGCGTAGCGTCGACACACGGAAAAAGAAGGAACACCGGGACTCGAGGGCAATACGTGTGGCAGGAAGTTTCGCCTAAAGGCGCGAGCGAATTAAAAGCGGGGTTTGTCACGGGGTGGTTGCAGTTGTACCTTTCCTTTGGAGAAGAAAAGAGTGGGAGCCGTCGGTTTGCCGCGTAATGCTCGTGTCACACGAGCTGCCCGAACTTTTCGTGGAGATTTCTATCGGGTTCGCCTGCAAAGTGTGTCCGATCGATACGACGACGAGCGAGATAAAAAAGAAGAAAAAACGAAGACGAAAGTAGCGCGGGGTGGGGGGTAAGGTGCCGCACGATACAGTGGAGGGGGTGGAAATTGGGACGACGACCCACCGCGAATATTATCATTGAATTTGAATATCGAGCCGGATCGGATCATCCGCGACGAGGAAGCACGAATCGATGGAAATTGATGGTAACCGTGTCTGAGCATCGAGTCCTTATTCCACTTGACTCGAGCGGTGAATCGTGTATTCGTGCGCTCACGATTAATTGCTTCGTTGTAATGGGTTCTTGTCTGTTTCTGTGTTCGAAAAACAGAATAATTTGGTCGAGAGGTTAATGGAAAATAGAATAGGGAATATTATACTATACTACATTGTGTTCGTATCCAGTGCAAGGTGACCTTACTCGGTGAAAAAATTGATAAACTTGTTTTAAATATTGAATCTAGAAAGAAAGTTCGATCAAACATTCTACAAGTTTTAATTTGTAGTTTCCTTTTTTTTGTATCTTTCAACTTATAGTTCACGAAAAGACTCTTTTGCTCTCGCTTAGATCTGAAATATGAAATAACGTTGTTGGCGAGACGAGAAAACGTCGGGAATGGCGAAACGCTTGATTCGAAAGGACTAATAACGTAGCAAAGTTTCTTTTCGCTTTCCACCTTAAATTGACTAACGTAATGGAAGAACTTTCCCCGTGCCAGTAACTTTCAACTCGAAGTTGAAACCGTGAGCTGCAGATACACGATAAATCGTCTAGATTCCGTGGCGTCCATCTTTCTCGGTGCTCGGAGTTTCCGTTCGCGCGTTAACTCGATCGATTGTACGAAACGTGTTTTTCGCAAATTTCTCGCGCGCTCGAATCGGCGGATCTCATTAAGGAGATTTCGGCCCTTTGTTGGTCCAGAAGTGGTCTGTTTCGTTTTCCACGGAGAAACAAAGCGAGGCAAGCACCTGGACTGGGCGAAAGAATGCCGTGACAGGGCGAAAGCGTTCTAATTCCGGCGAACGAATATCGAATGAAAGGCCTGAACACGAGGAAATTCCCCCGTTTTCCATTTCTGTTTCAGAAAATCCTGCTACCGTTGCGTCGTTATTCACGAGAAGCACCCGAACGTTCTCCAGTACAAAGAAAGTAAGTACAATTCGTGGAAGAACATTGGATAGACGTCGTTCCCTCTTCGTTCATCCGCTTGCCTAGCCTCGTCGCGTCCTCGCGACGTTCTCTCGCGGTCCTTGTCCCTCGTCTACCTCCTAATAGCCGTTGTTTCGTCCGATCGATAACGATCTCCCTCCCCCTCCCCCTCCGGCTGGCCCGGGGAAATCCATTCATTAATTAGAATGCCGATCGGTAATTAAAAGCTCGAAAATGACGAGACGAAGAAGACCGAGGACGAGCTGGGGGCCACGGCTGCCGGAATAATTCCCGAGGAAGAACTTAACGACTTTCGTTCGTTGTGCAAACGGGTCTGGAACAGGAAGAACCAGGGTGGGGGAGGGCTGGTGGCAGAGGTGGAGGAGAACGACACGGAGAAAACAGCGCAAGGGTTCTGCTAATTCCGAACGGGACTACGAGCCTCGTTTACAGTGGGAAAAGAAATCGAGAGCACTTTGGCCGGATTCTATCGTGCAATCAGCCTCGTGCCTCGTTAATACGCCGACAACAGAATGGATAGCGAAGTTTCTGGGACGTGATAATGGTTCTCAAACCTCGAATTATCTCTGCCGCTTCCAGCACTTTGTTTTGCATTAGCATGTCCCGTGTCTCTGTTGCTGCCGCCCACGCGATATTCTCCACGGGCAAGATACAGTTTTTTTTCTAACGATTCGTGTCCCCTAGTATCCGACGGTGTCGGAGCTTAAATTGCTCGCGCTGTCTTTGGAATTTCTTTATTGCTGGACAGCAGAATTTTTTCTAGGATGTAACGAGATAGGATTGTCTCGCTCCAAAATGGAAAAAGATGATAGCAAAGGAAGCTTCGTTTATTAATTGGAACAATGCGAATAGAATGCACCCCATTTTCTACTACTGCCAAATTATATCAGTCTCAGGATCCAGTAGTAGAGTAAGGTGCACCATCAAAAGAATCAGGGACCCCTACTAGGCATTGTACGTCGTGTACGTACGTTGTTCAACGATGCAAATCGTTACGCCGAACAATGCCGAATAACATATCACTGTATCAGGGATCGTTCGGAGAAGGAACTCGTGAATTATAGACCCCGAAGTTGAAGCTGCACTGACCCACATGTGGTTTATGGATTCCCGCGATAGAATGCTTCTTGCGAGTAAGAAGCATCTTGACCCACATGTCGGATGGTAGATCGAGGGCGTATTAAATATTAGAAAGGCAGTTTCCCATTTTTATGAATCACAAACGCCGTCTTGAAGCTCTCACGATTCACGAATGCGTTGTATCCTCGAGAGAATATCTTTTTCTTCCATGTTACCTGTATATTCAGAAATTCGGCAAGAAATTCATTGGATGTTTAAACATTACGATTGTATAGGCTCGGGCCATGGTATTTTCGGGTAAAAACCGATCGATCTCGAAAAATTTCTGGTCCGCTTCGACGCATCTTCGTGCACGAAGGGTGCTTTTACCCGCGCAACGTGGTTTCCTGGTAATTCTATTCGCCTCTGTGTGCTGCAGCTCATAGACGATACCTGTCTCTTCTTTTTTCAAACCTGTTAACGATACTTTGATCCTCCGACTGTGGTCGTAAGCGACGTGCTCTGCGGTGAGGTGGGAACGAGTGGGGGGTGAAAGGCCCGGTAAATATGGATTCGGAAAAAAAAAATGAATTTAATCCGAGCGAAGAGCTTGTATTGGCCGTTTCAAGAGGAACTGCTGCCACTGCTACACCGAATTGTTTCAAATTATTATTATTGTCGAAGTCACGAAAAACTATGCATTGATTTCCGTCTATGCAAAAGTGTGTCTACAGTTTTATCCTCTATCGATGCAGTCACATCTAAAATTTAACATCGATACCGCGTTGCTGTAACAGCTTCAAAGCTTTCATCCCCTTAAAACACCGTCGCGCATGTTTCACCGCGATGTCCCGTGATCGATCTATTAACTATTGAAAACCCATCTTTGTTTCATCGATCCCCGAACCGATCGAACAGACACGAAACCGCCTGTATACTCGCAAAACGGAGACGAAAGGGGGAGAGCAACAACGCGAGACAGGTGGAGTTTGGCACTCGAGCCAAGCCGTAGAGGAAAGAAGAGGGTGGATCCGATATATACAGGATGAAAAAGGGGGACACCGACCTCTGGTACAGCCCCCCGCTGTCTCGCATCCGCATTTTTCGACGATTTGTCAAAGTCCCTCGGGTCCCTCTCCCGCCCTCTCTCGCCCCGGCTGCCTCTATCTCTTCTTTTTTTTTTTATCGGATTTTAATCTGCATAGTGTCACACCGCAGATACCGTCGCCTGCAGGCTACATTCGGACCGTCGACGTGCGGGGAAAATGTGGGTCGTTTCTGTGGAAAATGGGGGGAAGATGCGGACGGCCGGTGACAGCAGATCGGGTGAGGGGAAAAAGGCTCGTCATGGCTTCGGGCGACCAAATGAATGGAAACCGCGGACTTCCTTGATGACTGTGATACACGAACTCTCGGTGCGATCCGAAGGCTGACGTTTCCAATGGAAATTGGATTCGCGGACGCGAGCCACGTTTCGTCGTTGTCGCCCCACCCCTCGTTCGTTTATTTGCTTTCAAGGGATTCGTTCACTCGCTCGCGGGGGAAACGCCGATTTCTGAGGATCTGGGACGACTTCAAAGGCGCTGAGACCCGTTTCGTCAACGGAAGAAATTCTCCGCGCGATCACGCGGAACCGGATTCCGTGGGTGCCACGTTCGTGAAACCCCCCGAGTCCTCGTTTAGCCCCCGTTAAGGCCCCCCAAGAGTCAGCCAGGCGACGGTTTTCCTCTGTTCGTTAAAAAAGTCAACCCGTTTTCCCTGACGCTCACCGCTCGTTACTAGCCGCACGCGGTGAAAATAAAGCGCGCGGTTTTCCTCGGCCGCAAGTTGTCCGCGGGGTTTTCCAACGGGCGTTGACTGGCGACCGGGAAGTTTAAGGGGCGGAATTACTGCCAGGACAGAGAGAGCGCGCGTTTTAAATTTAATTGGCCGTCGGCGAGCGCGTTTGTCGCGCCGTCCGGGAAGAGTTTGCGCGGATAAGTCCGCTTCGGGACACGGGATTGCACTTTTTGAGGCTTTCTAATTTCGACGTTCCATACGCGCGCCTTTCAGCGGACAGTGTCACGCGAGGAACGAACTGCGCGGACTCAGGGAAACGTAATGAATCGCGAGAGTACTACGAGCAACGTTGCATAATACTTTCCAACCGAGTGATTCAACTAACGACACGATCATCGGCAAGAATGAAAATTCATTTATCTATGGTTTACCGCTCCTCCGAGATTCACTTTATTCACTTACGTATTCCCATTGTAATGTTCGATCGGTCTGTTCAAACTTTCGTCGGGCAATCTTTTTACCTACCCGTTCTTCGGTGGATTCGAAGGACTTCGGAAGTTCCTGTAGAGCCGCTAAACCGGTCTTAGGGGTCCTTACTTTTAGTGGCCCTTCGGCATCAGCGAGGATTTCCAGTGTTCTTGAACGATAGAATGGTCCGTCGAATCTATCATTTTATTAATTCCAACATTAAACGACGGTGCAACGAGTTGCGGTAACGGAATCTGGTTTCTGAAATAATTATTTCGTTTTCATTGCGACATTAAGGGGGTTGGAGTCAAAGGGTTCGCAAGTTTCTTCGATTGAAACGTTTTTCAAGCAGAAAACGAATTCATTTTAATTTCCTGAATGTGACTCTCTTTTTAACGATACCTTCGACTTTATCATTCGTGACCGAGGGAAATAAAGCGTGGCTAATTAATCAGCGTGACGCGCCACCGGAAAGGGCGAATTAATTATGTTGAAAGGACGTTCGGACGCAGTTCCGTTCGCCGGGCGTTGAACAAGTCGGGAAGAAAAGAAAGTCGATCCTAATAACGAATAAATGACGATGAAAATTTGAGAAACTCGTGGGCGAACGGAGGGGGGTGGAGAGCAAAACGAAAGGGTGACACGAAGCAGGCATCCACGCGAGAATAAATAAATAAATGAGCCGGCACAGCGAGCGAAACAGCGGGGAAAACTTGGAAATAGGGGAAAGACACGACATTGCACTTTTTCCATTTCCACGCTTTGAAAATTACATTCGTTCTTTCCGCTTTTTTCCAGGTTTTTGTCGACGCCGGTTGGCCCGCGAGGCGACGACGAGCGTTCCTGTAAATAAATATCCGTTTATTTGAATAATTTCCAGCGCGGCCCGATGCGTAAGAGGAAAACTTGGTCGCGTTGAATGCAAATGAATACCTTGCGCCGAATTTTCGAGTCCCGCCTATCCAGCCAGCTATTTTCATTCTCGCGAAATAACGGCGGACGGAAAAGTCTACGTTCGGTTCTTAAAAGTATTTCTAACGGGACGCACCGTTGTTCAGTCTGCCAGAAACGGATACGAAGTCGTCGGGAGACTATGGTAAAAACTACACGCGAACGATCTTTAATACCAACCACGACAAAAACCAAGGGTAGCGAGGAAGAGAGACAATGAAACGGGTCGTTTTCACTCATACTCCGTCGCGTCGCAAAATCGGGGATTGTGTCTTCGAGCTTTATCGAGAAGGGGTTGCATTCACCGGTTCCCGTCAGTCATTCGGCAACTTTGAGTTCCCCTCGATCCAGAAACTACTTTTCTTTAAGGAAGAAAATTAAAAAGTAGTCGCGCCTTCTGTGACCATGAGTCGAAGGGCGGGAGGAAGGAAGGGAATCGGGACCGAGCACATTCGGGATAGGAGTCGATCGCCATTTGATTTTTTCCACGGCTGCGGCAACATCTGCGCGCGTGGAAAACTTGCCTGGCGAGTCCCTCCGCGAGCGGCTCGACACTTTTCCAGCCGAAAAGAAAGAAATCGCGAGGAATATCCTCGGTTAAAGTTAGTTCGGCTATGAACTTCCTACTCAGGAAAGATTCGTCATCGTCTGCTTACCTCCGCCACTCTTCCCGCCCCACCCTCCTTTCTTCCCTCTTTCCGAGGGCCGACTTCCTGTCGAGCTTGGCCTGCACGGGAAAAGAACTTATGGCTCCTCGGAAGTTAATGCGACGAGGCATCCGTGTGCTGCGTACGAGATACAGACGGTTGTTTGAAATTACTTGAACAGTTACAAGGTGTTCTGCGATAAGTGGTACAGTCACGGAATAGACGATTCCGTGTAGAAAAATGTATCAAAATTAATTTAAACGACGGCTACGAAAAAATTCAAGTGGAAAATTTATCGAGTTTCTGCTTGCAATGAACACAGTAGTGTGATACGATTAGTCTTTCATCGATTTTATCGCATCGTATTGTACTATTCCCACAGCTTGTAACCACAAACTCACCAATACATAATCAGTAATGAATAGACACATTAGGCATATCGTTTCGAGTACAATTTTCTCAGAAATTTACAATATTCGACTTGTTTCTTTATGTAAAATCAGTTGCTTCACGGTTGTACCGTTCGTTACGAAACACCCTGTAAACGTTCATATATGTACGAGTTCACGGAGTCACGAAAATTACTATACCAATTGATGTAATTTTCCGCTGGCGCTAGAAAAAAAAACTCATAGCTCGATGACGCGAGCTCTAATGGAAATTTTATTTGTTATTTCAGCTTACTGTAACAGTAGAAGCACCCTGGCGTCCCTGTGCTCGTCCATCACGGGAGATGCCCTGCTATATTCAATGTTCCGAGAGGAGGCGACACCTGTGCCGTGCCCTTTTCGAGGTCCTATGACCTTTTCCTACAATCGAGGTCACGGAACCTGCTCGGTACCCGTCAGCAACGTCGACACCTGCACCGACGACAGCAGACTGCTCTTCAGATACCAGGCGTGTCCCGATATACCGGCCTCCGAAAGCGCAGGTGAGGCATTCTTCGAATTACCTATCAATCGAAGAAACATTAGAAAGGCTTTTTTGCTTCATCGCTCCATAGATCGATTCTATTCTCGGAAGATTTCATAACGACTAAATCTACGTAGGATATATTGCACCATGAACGACGTGGGCGAAATTCGTTTGATTTTGTAGCGAAATCGATCAAAAGAAAAGATAAAGATAGAAGGATAGATCTAATATTAGAAATGATAAAAAATAGATAGAAAGAGAGATCAAAAGAATAAGCGTTCAAAGATCAAAAATATATCGATTTGGGTCGCAAAGGGTTCAGAGATTACCCTTCCTCTGTTATCCTCAGAAACGTGTAATTTGGGGGACATTCGGCGAGAGGCACTCGAAAGTTTCGGCAGCCTCCTTTTCCACGCGTGCTCGATTAATCGTCCGAAGGGTCAGGGATGGCGTTCCTATTAGAAGTGATTTTCGTCCCTGCATTCGTTAGTCGTACCCCGGGACATGTGGGGGAGGGTGCTCGATTTCCGGCGAAGGGTGCCGACGTTTGCCATTAGACGTGCATCCGATAAGGGATTTACGGGGCTACCGATTTCTGTGGTGGGAAAATTAAACGGAAGGGCGAGCAGGGGCGAGAGATAAATCGGCGCCACGTCGATCTATCCGTGTCCCCCGTTATCGATGATCATGACACGACAACCGCAGGATTAACGGATTCGCCGATATATTTTATACACGATCGCTCAAAAATGACCTTAATTTCGAAGTTGAAACTGTTGTGCACTTCCGAGATGTCTTGTCGTTTGTAAAATACTGTGCGCGTCGTTGAAACGGGACTCGTTTGGGGTTAACTGTCTAGACAACCCGGGGATCGTCCCTTCCGACCCCTAACGAAGGTCGTCGTTCACAAAACCACCGACACGTTTTGCTCCGTTTAGACTTCGTTAAACGTCCGTCCCGGGTTCCACGCGTGGATGCAAATTTCGATCGAGTCTTGAGCACGAATATTTCCTCCATTTTCCAAGGGCATATCCAAATAAAGTCTCGCCGATTCTTGCGTCGTCGTGGGATACTTAGTCAGATGGTCACGAATAAAATTCCATCGATCGAGCGATGTTCAAAGTCCTCAAATACTTAACATTATGTGAGTTTAGAACGCTGGTTGCGTTCGTTCGTACGTGTACGCGGCGATACGTCAAAAGGACAGCGAGAATCACCATTCGGTGGAGAAACAAAAAAAAAAGGACATTTTGAAGTGCCCCTACACAATCGACAGAGAGCGTAATCGGAATACAAGCACGGAACATGGGCAAAGGGAAACGGTGACCGCGGACCGATTTGATTTTTGAAAATTCTTCGCGTGATCGGCTCGACCGTTTCCGCCGGCCCGCCAAAGATACATCTCGCCCCCGGTTGCACTCGACCGGAATTGTTTTCATTTTGATGGGCATTTGCCTCCCCGAAAACGCGCGGACTACGCTATGTCGGTGTTAAATCGAATCAAGTTTCGATGTAAACCAACAAAAAACGAGAACAATGAAAAATAACGAGGAACGGACAGATAGAGAGTTGCGTATTCCCTTGTAGCGGTTACTGCGTCAAAAGTACACATATGATTGCCTAGCGGACATCCTACGGTTTATTTTGTTGTTACATTTACGATTGTGTAAATTGTTTTACAGGCAAATGGTTTTGATACGTATACACTATGAAAAGTGAGTGATATTTTTCGACTATCTTGTAGTTCATTTTTCTCATGGTCCTTTTAACATGAAAAATTTCCGTTAAAAACGATCTTCCGTCACTGTCTACCCCTTTCGGTGAGTTCTAATTAGTTCCATGTTGCGCGCATTTTATATGGAAGATAATAAAGCTTTTACGGACCAGCTGTTACGGGAGTCGATAAAATTGACAAGTAAATTCAGATGAATTCCTACAGTCGGAGCGAGAGTTCGCACGCGTTTAAACGGTGCGTAATATAATTTCGCGGAATTGCTCACATTATACCGTAGCTTTGAGGGCGATAATTTAGCATGGAGGGGGGCCAAGGGGTGGAACGAATACCACGGTCATAGCTACGGCTCGATATTAAATTGAACGCGTATTTAGGAAAGCAGAGACGTAAACTCTGCACCGGTGCCGTTTCGTCCCTTTGTTACGCAGCGCGCGAATTGGGCACAATTCGAACCGAAACGCGTCGCGACAGTCGCAAAACAGCAGTCGGTATCCTGCCCCGCGGAAAATCGAATCGCGATATTTATTAAAAGCACTTCGTCGAATTGAATTCTTTGTGCAAACATGTAGCGCACGGCGGCGCAGCGGCTCTATTTTATTTTCATTTTCGAAATATTCCGTAAGCCCCCCGTTCAAACACTTCGGGGTTCGTTATGATCTACAGAAAATTTAGTATTGGAATGTAACATTTGCACTTCATAAAGTAAATGGAAAAAGGGGTACGAAATGTATACAGGGTGTTCCACGTAATTAGGGCGGCTTGTTATTCCACCCTCGTAACTGTTTTCTCCGTTTTATAGAACTGGGTTATACATATGTATATCTATATATTTTTCATTAAACTGGAGAGTGTACTGCTTTTAGATTTCCGGAATGAAGTTTTAAACAGTACTCGAACAGCCAGTAAAAATTATACCTTTCCCAAGCAACGGTGCAGCTGCGAAGTGCCTCTTTCATTCTACTCGAAACGTATCCTCGTTCTCTTTTTACAACTTATACCTGACCCGTGTAACAAGTTAAAGACGCGTCTGTTACACTATAATTCCCAGTACATTTTCGTAATTTAATGATCGTCTAAGTAATAGTACTAATGTTACTTTCATTACGCGAGACAAAGGTGAATTAGCTATTTTCTTGTACTATAGAGGCCCGTTCATATTAAAATTTCGCGCCGAACAAAGAGCACATAAATCTTTCACCAAAAATACTGGCATTAACTAACGATAATCTTTTCTCCATCTTTTCATTGATTCTACACCGTCGTATTCACCAAACTTCGATGTCTACGCCTCCAGAAACTACCGATCGTGTCGTTAGATTATTTCGGCCGTTAAACGGTAACGCAAGCCCGCAAACAGCGGCGCCATAGACCGAGAACCGCAACGGAGGTATCCTCGATTACCGTTCCCTTCGTTTCCGCGTGCAGTCCCGTCTAACGAGCAAAGGGGGGAGGAGGGTAGCAGCCCCGAAAGGTAGACCGATGGTTGTCCGCTCGAAATGAAGCCATTCAAGGGACCTGGAGAAAAGAGACGAATGCGTGGGTAAAAGTCGTGTGGAGTCTGTCGACCGATCCTGGGTCCAGACTCAGGCGGCAGGCTTCGTAGGGGCGAGATTTCCGCGTGAAAAACGATCGACCGGTGGTCTTTTGAAGGACGCGGTTTGTGGTCCGCCCGCCGCAAAGGACCACCGAGGACACGAAGAAACCAACAATTATCGGCTGGCCGTGTCGGATGCAGCCGGGAGAGATGTGGCCGGCCCGGAAAGGCCATTGGTAAAGAGCTCGATGTTATCGGTAGCTACCCCTCCGTCGGCAGAGACACCTTCTTCCCACCGTCTACGCGGTGGCGAGGTTTTCCAGAGAAACCAGAAGCCAAGATCCCAGAGGCCGCGTATCTAAATCACATCTCGCGGAAAAGTCGACTACCTCTTTTTCCTGTCGTTTCTTTCCCGCGGCAACCACCGCCCATCTCCCTAGCTGCTTTATCCTCCACCTCCCAGAGTGTCCCTCTCTCTCTCTTTCTCTCTCTCTCTCCCTGGGTTTCCCCATCGCCCGCTCCCCTTTCCCGCCAACCGTTTCCTCTTATTCCACGTCTCCACCTCGTCGCAGGCACATCCGACTTTCCTTTTTTGATCCTCGAAAGGAGAGGACGCCGAGAGCAATTTGCGAGGATTCGAACGAAAAAAGCTCGTTCCTCGGGAGCGTTCGGTGCTCTTTTGCTCGTCAGCCGGGACAGATTCCGGCGTGTACGGCTCGGCCTCGTTTCTTCCAGTTTCCACCGTCTCTACCGACGAATTTGATCCCGCCGATAGACGCGGGGATCGCGGGCTCATCTAGACGACGCGACACGGGTGTCTCTTGTAGGGGACGAAGCTTCGGGGCGGGAGGAGCTTGTCGATGAACAACGACCGGAACGTTTTTGTCGTTCGCAGCCTGTAGTCACGGTGGTTAAAAAGGTTCATTGTGACGGACTAGAAGCTCTTTTCTAACTAACGTCACATAAGAGTATTCCCGACGTTGCTTTGATTCAAAGAATAGGCTGTATATGTAATAAATTCCTCTTTGATATCTTTGCTCTCTATGGAAAACAGTAGCATACACATAGATTGTGGGGTAAATTATTTCGGAACTGGACTATAGTTAGCATCATTCCACCAAACGAATTTCTCCCAGGTATACGTATAACTCTCGGTCGATTTGTTCTCGGTGTCCAACGGACATACTCAGTCGTGGAAGAAATATCGCCGGATCGTAATCGCACGCAACGTAGGATAATCAAATCGAGCGGTCATGGGGGTGTTCTCTGTATCGCGAGGAAATCGGTCGTTTTGTCCGTTTCAGTCGAGGAACTGGAATGCCTGGCCACCTGGAAGGAGGGCAGCAGCCGCTACCTGGTCGGCCGTTTACATCATGGACACGCGTCCAGTAACGAAGATCGATACCGATGCTTCGTCTACGAGAAGGCAGGCCAGACAGTGCAGGGTAATCTGCACAGAGCTGCCATGGGCATGGGAGCCATGGATCATGATGTCGGTTTACAGAGCGGACCGGTGCCGGAGGATGTGGACGAGATATACCGGGTGGCGCAGAGCGGCGACGCCACGTGCAATGGCCTGTTCAGCCCAATGGAGGGCTCGCGGACAATGACTCTTATGAAAGGTAACGACATAAGTTATTATTATTTATCGAAGAAAAAGAGGATCCCAGGCCTGCCTCAAGCCCATGGATCTAGTTACAGTAATATATGCACATAATAAATATTCTAATCAGGTGTATACAGTAAATCTCAGGATAGATCGAAAAATTATACATGTATAACACAACTCAGTTTTTTTTAACTTAAATGATAGTATTGTAAATTCGTATAAACTTTTGGATAATTTGGAGCTCCGTCGCACGAGGTTTGACAAGACACGTATCAAATGAGAAAAGTAGGTAGCAACCATACCCTGGTATGTTGTCTTACCTGATTCAAATTGTAACGATGATATGTATTCACTGTATTAGATATCATACTGAAATACATTAGGTTGAGAGGAATATTCTTTGGAAATGGAAAACATCCATCCCCAAGTGTAGCAAAGGAAGCCTGCAAGATGAAAAATGAACCAACGAATTTGTAGCATCACTAACATTGTATTCTATTAAAGTCACTCAAGAATTCACCTCGGTTCAATATCTGCAAGCGTAAGAGTTGCTAAAAGTATCTTCAACGAGCTACTTTCACGACCGTATAAATTTCTGTCGGAATTCTATTCGACTGGTTTTCCGAAGACACGTCTGCTTAATGCACTTCCTTCGACGTAGCTCCGCCACTAGCCCGTTTCGCGTCCGAATCTCGAAATGCAGGCTACATCGATTCACGCAAACAGCAGCAACGCTGGAGATGCGCAACGATTAGGGCGAATGCAGTCGACTCGAGGGAATAAGGTCAGAAGGTTATGGAATGCTTAAGAGGTCCCGGGAGAAATGAGAAAAACGTCTGCCTTCTGTGAAATCACAGCGTGAAAAATTCACCTCTTTCTCTCTCTCTCTTTTTTTCTTCTATCTCTCACCCTTCTCCTCTTTCCGGCAGTGTCATTAACGGTTCGCGTCAAAATGGCGGTCCGACGCGCGAAGCAGGAATATTTACACGCTACTCCACTCCGGCCCCGGTGTACACCTTCTTTTCTTCTCGTTCCGCTGCATCGGGCTGTACTCCTTCGTCCCTCTTTTTCTCTCGACGCTCGTTCCTTTTCCGGAGTTTGCGAGCCCGTATCTTACTACGTACAGTTTCACGGCAAACTTCGTTAACGGATTTCACTTCGGTGGATTTCCCGGATCTCTCTCGCTTTAAGCCGCGCCCCTACAGCCACCATCTCGCCTGGCCTCGTCTCGCCTGCTTTCTTTCGTCGAATCGCTTTAAACCGAGCCAGAGCCGCCGCGACACGCGGATAAAACTGTCGGCTAAAAATGCGGAGAAGGTGTGGAGATGCATCGACGGCCGGTTTGCCCCCGTAAGCATCCGCAGGCGTTAGTATCTCGATCCTTCTTGCGGGTTGGCTGCGGAAGAAATGAGAAGAGAGCAACGCCGAGAAGCAGTCCCGGAAAATGGATTAACGTTAAATCTTTTTCTCTCTTTCTTCGACTTGGTTTCTCTCTCTTTCTCTACCGTTCTTCCCCCTCCCCCCTCTTCGTCCACCGGCAGCCCCTGTACCCACCTTTAACTGCATCCACCGTCCCGGCTCGAAAGTTTGTTCAATTAGCCTGAACTCTTCTACAGGCAGAGTCAATACCCCAGGAAAATTACTCGACTGCGTTTTCATAACTGCTCGAAACGTGCGGTTTAACCGGCGAAAAGGAGCTCGACGGACTCACTTCCTCTGTTTCTCCCGACTGTGCGCGGGCCGGAAGATGTCTTGGAACGTCGAGGGGCCTCCGAACGTCGCTCGGCACGAGACCCTCCTCCAATAGGCAATTACCCCGCCGGGGGCTGAACGTTAATCGAGCGAACGTGCCGCGAACTTTCTCGGCGGGACACTCGTCTCGTCGACGAAAAAAAAGAAAAAAAAAGGAGGAGGGAAATGGGAGAGGGGAGGCCGAACAAACGCGATCGTCCGTCGCCTTCCTTACTGACGCTGTCGGGGTTCCGTCGAGTCGTCGGGCATGAATATTAGAAATCAATCGCGACACGCCGATAGATCCCTTTTCTACGTTCGAGCCCGCCGTCGCTCGCAGCCAACCGATTCGAGGGAGTTACAAATTCAACTTTCCGTCAGATTTTATCGGTATCGTTAAAATGCAGATTGGCAATACACAGCGAGGAACGGGAAAAATAACGGAAGGGGCGGTGTGTGGAGAGTGTGAGGAGAGAGGTGGTTGAAGAGCGGGAGGGGAACAGGTACGCGCGAAATCGAAGCGAGAGAGAACGCAGTGGAACGGGCGGGACTTCGCGTCGCGTTGGGAGGACTGGTGTAGCGGCGCGGGTTTTGATACCACGAAAGGATAAAGAACGACAGCAAGTGAAACAAGGGAAATGCCATTCGATTTTTACGATCACGGAATTTGTATCTCGCTCGTCCGTGTCGCGGACTTATCGATGGAGCCGCTGAATTATTTCCATTCTTTCCCAGGCCGCGCAACAATGCTTTTACGTGCCATAAAACTAGCCGAACGTACACTCTGTCAATCCTCCATATCCTCGCGCCGCTGCCTTTTGCCCCCTTTCGTTTCATTTTTTTTTTTCTATCATACCCCGTTTCTTCGTTATTTTTTTTTTTCATTCTTCCCCATTTCGTCACCTACCATCACCGTGTTTTCTCATCTTTTCACATATACTTTTTTTACACCGTATCCTTCACACCTTCTATTGTTATACTATCGCCATCACTTTTGCCTTCTACTCTATTCTCGGTTCTCCCTCTTCGCCCTTCCCCTCCCTTCTACCTTCCGTCCTCTATTTGCTTTCACCTTCCTTTCCCCCTCACCCTTCGATCGCCGCCTCTTGCTCTCTTTTCACCTATCTATCTATCAGCCTATAGCGCGTGTTCCTCTTGTTCCTTTTTGCCGATCCTCGCACCCCCTTTGTTATCCATTTTCCTTCGTCAACCCTTTCCCCGGCCGGTTCTGCCGGCCGACACCATCGAAGTGGCTCCTTCTCACGCCCGGATTTTACACTCCCGAGCCGGAAGCGGAACGCTTGGGGAAGAGGCTCTAGAGAAAAAGGGAGAAAGAGACAGAGCGGCTTTGGCGGACCGGACCGGCGCGAGATACTCGAACGATTCTGTTTCGCCGTCGAATACCTACGTCGACGTTTTATCGACTGTCGTTGCGGAACGTCGAGGACTTTATGGGCCGGAGGGGGGTGTGACTGCGAAATTTTTGGAGTATGCCTCGTCCTCTTCGTCTCTTTTATCCTCTCTGTCGTTGATTTCTTTTTCGTTCGCTCGACTACACTCTCGATTTCGTTCGAATCGTTCCCGGGAAATTCGACGATTTGCAGTGATCGACGGTGAATCGGTGGAGAGAGGATGCTCTTTAAAGTGTAATGAACACAGCTTTTTTCTCGTGTCTGAACCGTGAAAGTTTGAATACTGAATCGTAGCCTGCTGCTTCGGCTGTTTCTCTTTATTTGTTCACTAAAGAGTATAACGTTTTCATATAACGTCAAAACATACGCAGCATTTTTTGTAGTCTTATGTGAGGCTCAACTCCGGATCGTGGATGATACAATTAAAGACTTTAACGAGGCAAGATGAGATGTTTCACGAACAGCTATACAATATCGAAAATGTCAAACACTCGAAACAGCGGCATTTTATTTCAGCCTAATAGATTTTGTCTCTGGCTGCTCTTTGGCTCTCGCGTTGGAACGCGGCGACCGTAGACGATCAAATAGAATTAACCCATCGATTCGAAGGTCGCGTCCCCGATTGTCCCGGACACGTCGATTCGGTACGCTCGTCAAATATTCCATCGCGCCGGTGAAACGAACCGTGCGATACGAATGAAAAAAAAAAGGAGGGAGAAGAAGAAAGACCAAAAAAAAAAAATACACACAAAAGGGGAAAGGGCAGGGCGAGTTGGCAATCAGGAATTACCAAGTTAATACTCTAAATACGTTTTAAAAGCGGCGAAGCTTTAAAGCTTCCGCTTAACGCGGCCCGGCTAGGTTCGTGAAGCAAGCCGTTCGGAGAGGGGAGGGGAAGATGGAGAGGACCTCGAGGCTGTTCAATCAACGTTAAATAAATTGGTTCCTGTACGTTTCCAGTCTCGCCACCCGGCCCGTGCCGATTTCCCAATTGGTTGACCGGGCATCCCAGCGGCGGACTGACCTGGCACACCCTAGATCTGACCAGATCTTACACGTTCCATTCGCGGAACGCTTCCCTCCACGTGACCAGATCGAACACGAGCTCCTCGAGGTTCGAGAGCGGACCCCTGGACGGACAATACGTTCCCGGCCACGAGGATCAGGACGTGAAGATTCTCTGCAACAGCATCAAGCAATCGTACGCCGAGCAGACGACGATGTCCATGCTGGTCGCGCATTTCACCGTTGGCTGGTGAGTACACGAACCTCGTTTCACCACCTTGCGGTCTACGCCGATGTAATTTGCTGGATCCTGTCGTTTGTTTCGATCGTTTCGCCGGCACCGATCGCTTTTGATCTGGTCTTTACAACCACTCGGATTTCGAACAGGTTGTGTACCTTCGAATCCCCAGTTGCAATCTTCGACACTTTTGCTAGCGGTCAGATACGTAATAATAACATTAGTAATGTTTCTTTCGTATACATTCTATTAAACCTAACATTTATTATCTTTCACTTATTGCAAATTTTTGATTTTAGTCTTGTTGGTAAAATATTTCAAGGATTCAAGGGAGTTTAATTATGAAATTTTCATACCCTTGTGTATTATTAAACTTTTCGAGTACATGGAGAAGAAAAATAATTACCTACACTTAGAATGAGTGTGATAAAAAATCTTAACATACTTAAACGCGTCGAGAGAAAAGTACAATCGCATGCTGTTGTTGAATGTAATTTGAATATTGGATAATCCAGGTATAAAGGTCTAAATAATGGAGGTCATGCTTCTTGCCCTGGGCAAAAATGCTTCTTTCATTCGCGCAAAGTTTGCTTCCGGTAGAGTTCTATAAGAAATCCGAACACTGTAAACAAGGCCTGAAAATACGGCCAAACTTCTGATTCAACCTGCATTCTGACATAGTCAAAAGGCTGCGCAACGTAACTGGGTCAGGACTTTATCAAAGAATCTAATGCAACATTTATGAAAGTTTTGTCTTTGGAACTGTCGCCTATCCGAAATCCATGAAAGACGGAGGAATACAGTTTGTAAATTCCAAAAAGTTTCGTAACGGCATTACTTCTCCATACGAAAGTCGCCAAGCGAACGGTATTATTATCGCGACCGAACCGCGAAAAATGCTCGCTGAATTAACCAAAAGCGCGCAACACGAAAGAGCGTTCTGTCGTTGTTACACCAACAGAACCACGGCATTGTTTTGCATTCCGTTTCAAAGTTCAGTGTAACTCGTCGAGAGGTGGAGAAAGGGAGGGATGAAAAAAAAAAGAAGAAGTCGCCTCAAATGTGTACAAAGTCATATTTTGGGAGGACGAGAATGCTCCTCCGTAAACGGTGTTTCGCGCGAGTATTAACGTGGACGCGGTCGTCTCGTTTCAACGGCATATTTTTACGCGCGGAATTTTTGTTGAAACGTCTCGGTGTTGCCGCGGTCTCGCGGAACGGACACGGCGAAAAAAGGGGCGAAAAGAGCATCGGTAATACAGTGTTTTGAGAAGCGGGACAGGCCGGACAAGCCCAGCCACAACCGTTGTACATTGTTGGCGTAAATAGTGTCGGCGTTGTTCACGGCGAAAAACGTTTTGCCGGCGTTGTTCCGCGCGGCGAACGCGCGGCGAACGCGCGAGGGAGAAAGAGAGCACTTTTTTATTCAGCCGTCTTCTGTTTTCAGCCGGAGCGGTTTCATGTGCATGACGTTTTACCGAAGGGACGGCCACGTGGTGGAGGTGCAGACCGGAAGCGCCGTTTCGGGGCCGGAAGAAGCTTGCAGCCCGCCCCATTTCCAGCAGCACAACATACCCTTTCTCACCTTAGTCAGTGAGTACATTTGTCTGCTTTTGTTCGCCCGTCTCGCCGATTTGCTTGATCGTTCACTGACGCGGTTACGCTCGTACGCTGTTACGTAGATTGAAGTTGGAACTGACACTTTGAGACAAATGAAGACACTAATCAATCGTGTTGTTTGTGGAGTTGATGAACAGATGAAGATTCGGTTAATGTACGGGAATGATTCATTTTATCTATCATTATATATTCCGAGATCCTCGGAATCAGTGCCTCTCGCGGTCATAAAAAAGAAGAGGACATTTTATGGGATTCGTGAATACTTTAGCCTTGCCCCCTGTTCAATGTTATCCAAAACCGTGGAACATCGAAGGCAGCCGTTACCAATTGTTCCTCCGAACTTGAACAACTGTTAGAAAGTGGCGTACACGCGCGCGCGCGCGCGAGCACCGCGGCAATATCGACTTCCGTCGAGAGAGCCGAGAATTCGAGCACCATCGAACAGCAGGTTTCCCGGTTACGCTCGATTTGCGTGACCCTCGAATTTTATCGGGTCCGCGAGAATGGGGTAGGTGGAGAGAAAAAGAGTCGAAGGAAAGAGAAACACGGGGGCAAGGAAGAAAGCTAAAAAAAATATGCTCGATGGAAACTGCCTCCGACACCAATAAACCCCGGAGAACTCGAACTTCCTGGGAAAAGTTTCTCGTGCCGCGGCACAAGGATTTAGTGTGCCAACATTGTTGCCCGGCAGACTGGGGCTGGAAATGGGGAACCGTGCGACAAGGGAGGGGGAGGGTTTGACCGACCCTACTTCTGCAATTTTCGATCGATTTAGACGCGGAATGTTTCTCTGGTTTATTGGGAAACCGTCGTGTGTAGCGATGGAATTAAAGCTTACTCGATGTAAATTCCTGGAACTATTGTAGTTACAAGAAATCTTTTCATTCTTCCAATCGTGGTTACTTAACTGTTTCTTCTTTAACTATCTTCGGAGGCAATAAACTTTAGGGTAGGCGGTATTTTTGTTCAGGACATTCACCTGTAGGTCGAATGGAAGAATTTTCCGTGCAAATCATTTACTTGGTTCTGTATGCGTATAGAGTGTTACCGAACGGTCGATGCAACCAGAAAGAGAATGAATTTATATCAAAAAGTAATTTATAAACGAGAATAACGTTTTTTGGTACGGGGTTTCGTTTACAAAAAAAAATAAACTTGAAAAACTCGTCGAGCACGCATGCTTTTGAATGTAGTCGATACAGTGTCTGATCGTTACTCGCTATTTCTACTTCTACTAGTCACTGACGATGGTGTAGTATTGTCCGAGTTCTATCAATCACATTATAAGTATCTTATAACAATTAGTTTATACTAAATTGTTTAACTATATCTGTAAAACTGTGACTGTCTATAATCACTGGAGTCAGTAGAAACATCATGTAATAGTCAGACATCATTTCCACGCGTACACGATAAAGTCTGAAATTCAATTTAATCGAATGCCTCAGTCTAAAACATTTTATTTAACAAGTTCGACTTATTTACCTCCTTTTTATTGTACCATCAATTTCGCCAACATCTTGTATAATAATACGATAAAAATCACCGCTACTGTTCGAGCGCCTTTCAAACCCGTCGCCAGAAACTCGTACGTTCGTGGAAACTAAGAAAAAGAGAGGGCAAAGAGGTAAAGGACACCGATAGCCGCGGCGATTTGTCAAAATCCCACGAACGACTTATAAGTTATATATCTATCGCTGTCTGGAACGGCTACTTCCACTTCTAGTTCCTTTGGTCGAGGGTAAAACGGGAGCGCGCGCGCGTTCGCTCGCACACAGTTTCGAACGAACACAGATGTATATGGGTACTCCGTGCACGCGAGCCTGTGTCGGTGTTATGCAACGGGTGGTAAACGAATCTTCCTAGAGAAATTGAATTTGTAGGGAGCCAGTGAAGCGCGTCACGAAAATCGTTGAAACCGCACAAATATTTTGCTTCATCGTTTCGACGATGGCTCGTGTGCGGTTTGGTTTCGTGGCACTGTTTGCCGATCACCTCTTTCTTCGTTTGTTTTTTTTTTTTTGTTTCCTCCTGTTTTTACATTTGTTTCCGGTTGCGAAGTGTACTCGTGACCACTGCAGAGCGGTTATTCTTTTTTAACTGTGCCGTTGCGGTCTCGCCCTGTGATTCTCGCGTAAAAAGCACTTTATTCCGCGTCCTTTATGCTCTATAAGCTTTGACCCTCGAGTTTTCTTTCATTTCTCGTGGTTACCGTATTTTTAATCTTGCGAAGAACTCTTAATGCGAGGAAATTCATTACTCTGTGAAGATCAACGGTTTGACTTGGAACCTATCTCGAGAAAAAAGAGCAGAATAATGTACTGTTCTTCGTTGAAGTGTCAGTGTCTCACTCGACTCTTGACAAGGTTAATCACAACGCTTGAGCGGTATAATTCTTAAGCAGTAATAATTGTCTAAATCGTTCAAGGCTCATTTTGGAGTATCGTCAGGATAATTAGAAATACTCGTGCCTGGGTAGCTGATCGTTAATTACAAGTGGCGCATCCTTATGTAGGTCGTATCAGCAAAGAATTTCTAACAGATCTTCCATGCTTTCTCCACGTCGGTGACAGCAAACAGTTCGAAAATTCGCCAGGAAAACAATGTCTTCGTCGAATATGAAGTCCAAGCGCGACGGGTTTACTCGGTATACCTGATACGAATACGGGCTACGATATAAAGTCTGGCTGTCCCACCGAAATATCCTACCCAGGCGACGATCCACCTTTCCCAGCCACCTTCCCTTATCCCAACACCTCCCCCCCTCACTTTCAGCCACCCACCCCCAGTTTTCTCTTTGCCGCAACTTCCACATCTTCGGGGAACGGTTGGTTCCCAAGGGTCGGAGTTGTAATCCCGCGGGAGTTATTGGATTCGGTTTGATCCAGTGGTTGGTCGTTCTCCTTCTCGATCTCCTTACCTTCTTCCGTCACACCCAAGCTGCCTGGGAATATTCGATCTGGGAGCACGCAGCTTCATTTTTTCACGAAGGTCAATAAAAACTGAGGTAATTAAGTCCAGCGTTGTTCGAACATCGATGAATGACACTGGAATGCCCAAAACTTCAACGATCGCCAATTTGTTTCTTGAATCATCCAATCCAGGACATTATCGTTATGATCTACTATACATGTTAAAGATGACGTTCGAGTGACTAAACCAATTGGATTCCTTTATTCTAAATATTACAGCCAAACGCCCATAACACTCTTTTCAGTCGCAGATTATCGTGTACCTTAAACCATCGCTTTCACCGCAGACACTCGAGTCTTAGTACCAATTGCGGCATTGTCAATTCATGGAACAGACCACGCGTGATCAGTGGTCTTAACAGGTCCGTGCGAACCCAGAGCTCGGTTTCCTCGTATTGCTCATACATCATGCATTGTCTTCGAGCTGCTTACCTGATTAGTGCATCAACAGGGTACGCGAGACATCCACTATTCAGGAAGTCGCCTCCAAAGTGACACATCTGCCGTTAATGGGCACTCCTGCTCTCCGTCATGATTCCGCCTCTGCTGACCATAGCCTGAGCTTGAACCATGAAATGGTCAAAGACAGCTGTCTCTATCACACTCCGCCTGTGTGCAAGAGTATTCGTATGAACTTCGACATACCAAAGTATAGATACTCTCTGCGGTGAACTAAACTTGTTAATCTCCGTGAAAGTCTCACGACGTCTTCCAGTTCCTCTGGTCTGAAATTTTTTGAATTCCCGTGAGCTGTGTTCGGTCGGATAAACAAAGTCCGCCAGATGGGGGATCAGAATAAGAAGCGAAAGTTGACTGATTTCGTGGTAATCGGTGGAAAGTTCGTGAACCCCGCGACTCAAAGTTCCGTGGTCGGAATAGACTGACGCTTTCACAGAGCTGTTGGATTATAAAATTATAATCGTTCCGGAATCGACGGGAAAGCTCACGCCGCGGCGCGAATCGATCGAGCAGAATTCAAGTTTAAATCCTGTCCGGAGATCTAAAGTTTCCCCGCGAACGGAACGGTTCGCCTCTGCGGGCGATTTTCCGGCCAGGAGAACCGAGTCCGACCAAAAATTCGTTCCGTGGCTGCTTGCCTCTCCCCGAGCGGTCGGTGCGCCGCCGGACGATAGATCATTCGTTTTCCCAGGGAAAACTCTTTTCTCGGGCCAGCCTTCCCCCTTCCACGCAGCCTGCAGCCATAAGCTATACAATATCCGCCGGTGCAATAAAGTGGACCATCCACCAGCCATCCATCTTTTTTCTTACCGCGCAACCCCTCTCTTCTTGCCTCCTTCTTTACCATCTCCTCTTTTCGTTCTCCTGTCTTTTTCTTGCGCTTCGAGTGCTTCATCGTCGAAACTTTTACGAGCACTCGAGAGGGGGGAGTGCACGATAACGCCGAAATAGACGACATTGGTATTCCATTGACGATCAGAAATAAGCGTGTCGAAGTTAGGGCCACGGAAAACGTAATCCAAGGAAATTTCTACGGGTCGGTTCCCACTTATGGGACAACGGAAGAAGCGAGATTAGTCGCGGATTCGTCGTTTCGAATGGCCGTAAACGTACCAGCCACGTCGCGGTTAAGTTAATTGCCGGTGGCGGTCTTTATCGTTATCGTGTGTACGACGACTTATAGTTTTACGTGCTGGCTCCTGGCTCGCGTACGCGCAACTAAACTGCTCGGGATGATGGCGTCGTGACTTTCACGACGTCGATCGAGGAGACCCGAAGAATAGAGGTCAAACGAAATTGTTCGACGAAAACAGGATTACAATTTCGGTCGCAACTATATCCAGTTAATATTTCGGATAGCAAGTGTTAAACAGACCGTTGTTATGGACAACTAAAGGGGATAATTAGATGACCTGTTTCTTATGAAACACCCTGTAGAGTTTACAAAATTCTGATCCGTTAAAATGTTGTATATAAAGTGTATATCGTGTGATTTATGGAAGTGAGACAAGTCAAGTCTCCTAATTTATCGCGGAAAGGATT